GCTTTTCGCCGCTGCTTGTGAGCGAGAAGATCTCTGAGCATTTAGGGTATGGCTGGTACGCTTGGAAACTTGACCGGCGTGGTGTTAACACCATAACCGTGTAAATTTATATACGGTAAAGGCGTGGTTGCATGGATACGTGGTAACTCAGTTGGGAGACGCCATTTTAGATTTGCTAAATTAGCGCTCTGCGCATGGGCAAATGGTAAAACCCCTGACAAGAAAGTTCTTGAGTAAATTAGGACTAAGACAAATTGGAAGCTCATTGGTGCCACATGGAGTTTTGACTTACTTACAGTTACGCTGTTTGGTCATTGACTTAATTTTTTTCCGGTCCTGTACTAAATTTCTGCACTCACACGTTAATCGTCCACAAGGCCGACTTTTGAATTTTATTCCTTAATTTTTGTTGTTTATTTTTCTTTACAGTTTATGATGACTACAAGTTTGTGACTAAGCAAGACCTGGAGAGTTAAGGTACAGTGAAGCTATAGTATAGAGTGGTTCTGAACTCCTGACAGATCGTTACATCTGCTTTATCGTTTTAATTTTTATCGTTATTACCATGGTATTTTATTAGGCATTGCGACACACCTGAGAGTAGCTATCATTTCCATTTTTGTCCTGCAACAGCCGTGACTGAATGACACTCTGTAAAACAATTTAATCACCTTTCTTCCGCCTCTAAATGACATTCTGTGAGTGTGTCGAATGGAATATTCCGTTTCTTGGCCATCACCTGCACTTTATTGGGGAGCCAACCCGCTACAATAAGGGTCATCCTCCGAGAAAAGCTGACTTTTCGCTCAATGAGATTGCATTGTATTCTACTAACTTTTAATTTTTTTGTATCCTCAAGGTCTGTCGCATTTGATGGGTACCAAGCTATTGCGGGCCTACATGCACGGATACTTTATAGACTTGCATCTCTATCACAAGGTAACCATGATGGTACTGATAGTTTGAGTGTAGTTGCATGTTAGAGTACAGTCGCGTATGCTGTCAGTTATTCACTGACAGTACTTGGTTGAAGTTGAAGTTGACGTGGACTGGAAGCTGGTGTTTCTTTTTAAATTTCTTCCCAGGCCAAATCTATAGCCGAACCTTTTGCATTTTGAAGAATATCGCAAGAAACGCATCCAGGATAAGATTAAGGAGGAACGCGCCAACAGGGTCAAGCTAAAGGTCGGCAAAATTAAGGTGTCATATATTAGGAATGTTTGTTTGAAAACGATACTATATTCGCATCATCATGAGCGTTGGACACAGATGGAAAGAGGTACATGGAGCACCCCTAAGTTTAATCAGATTGGAACAGCGGGGCCCTCCCTGGATTGGAAACTAATACTTACAGTGCTTTTTTTCTTTTGCCAGAAACCTCCCAAAGTAAACAGAAACTTGGCGGAAAAACTGATAGAAGAGAAGAGGGATACTAAGAAACATGCGGTTTCGGTATGTTATTGTAATCTGCATTTTTAAAATGTACTTTTCAATTGAGTTGATATGTTGACTCCCTTTTCGGTATAGTTTTTAATATTTCCAAAGTCGTTTGCATTTGTCATATCCGTTTTTGTTTGAAAAAGGGAGTTTTTTTCCTCCGTTTTCAAAAAAAATACGCGTCCACATGAAGCGTTTTCGAATCGTTTTAGCCCGTCCATACGAAAACACTAAACAATGGAAATACGATAGTACCCCTCCCAGAGTATACATTATGCTAGTAGTATGTATAACATCATCGTGTTCGAACACCTCCGTTTTCATCCCTCCACACGTAAACGAGTGGCCAGCGTTTTCAAAAATCTTCACTATGGAGAGCGTTTCTGAAAAGATGTGTTTCGGTGACCGTTTTCACCGAATACGTGTAGACGGTAGGCCAAACAGTAAAAAAAAATCTCCGTTTTTAAAAAAAAACGGATACGTGTGGACGGGGCCTCAGACTTTCAAGTATTTGCCTTGATTATTCCGACTTGTTTACGTGTGGCTTTGCTTTGTTTTTCAGTCTTCTGACGTCAGCAATCCTTTAGGAGATGACAGATTCTCGGCCATGTTTTTGAACCCAGACTTCCAGGTGGACGAGGAAAGCGAGGTAAAACAGACTTACACGGCTCAAGTGTTTTATAATAGGCTGATTTAGTAACAGAACGGGAACGTCATATGACGACGGGAAAGCGCGCGGAAAGGACTAAACGCGACTTCCGGTGCCCAATTTGCCACTCTGCCACTGGTCAAGCCAGTTGTTTAATTTGCGCGCGCCGTCGTCAACTGACGTTCCGATTCTGTTGCTAAACCAGTCTAATATTTATCTAGATGCTCTTAATCTAAGAATGTTTTTGCGCTCTAGTAACTGAAAAGCTCTGAAAAGTATGGTCGATTATTGCCGGCGCTAAATTACCATCCGACTATGGTACGATAATGGATAAGAAATTCAGAAAACCAAGAATTTCTCCCAAGAATAGCCCAATTCTGAGTTTTGTTAATCCTCTGTCAAAACTTGGCCTGTTGCACAACCTTTCATGGCATACATGTCTGAAAATGAATGTGAATGAAAACTCATCTTCATATAGAAGAGTAAGTACCACGAGAGGCTTTTGAAAATTAATGAGGCCAAAGATATATATCCGCGATATCCTTTTGCTTGATGTCTCTTTTCATGAGGCCAAGATTCTACTCTGTTAAGAAAGGTCAAAATAACTGGACACTCCTCCTTAACTTAGTAAGCTAACAAACGTCCCACACTTAAAAGGACTGACCTTTTCAACATTACCTTAGAGTCCTGATTTTGTAAGACCTTCTTGATCTTTTATGTTATCTCTCATCCCGGTAGCCTGCGCGTAGATGTCTCATATTTCCTCTGTGCACGCGTTTGCACCCGGGAAGTCAATAAAAACCGTTACGTTGATGGTAAAGTGGTAAAAAACACTTAAAAAAAAACGTTTTTCGTTATTTTGTTTGGAGGGTGAAGCGAGACAGATATTTTGTCTCTTTGATCTTACGTATGTTATTTGTCAAGGTAAATTGACACCCTTGAAGAATTTTATGTAACTGCCAGTGAAATTGTCCTTGCATTTTTTTTTTGAAGGAATACAAACTTCTTCATCCAGTGGTTTCCAAACATGAGAGAGAAAAACAAAAGCGGCAGAAGGAAAAGCAGAAGTTACTGGAGCAGTTCGATGAAATAGAGGTGAAGGCTGGAAAAAATAAATATCTTGAGTCCGAAATATCAACTCACTGCCTTGTATTAAGGACGAGTAAAAATTATTCTGCCTAACTATTTTAAAGGAAAAGCAGAAGTTACTGACTTTGGAGGTTGGTTGGCCGCATCTTTGATATGCTTTAAGGTGACAGCGCGATGCTGTTAGTGAGTTCTTCACTTCTTGTGTGCCTATCATTACTTGGCTGTGTAGCCGCGTGATGCGGTTCCAGTCGAGACCCACAAATTGGCCCTTGCTCACCATAGAGTCTCCAGTAGCTCAAGTGGTTAGAGCATCCGACTAGATCACGGAGGGTCGTGGGTTCAAATCCCATCTGGGACTCGGATTTTTTTTCCGAGTCCTCCTCAAATTAATATCATGTTGTTGTTGTTTCATCTTTAATATACTCACTTTGGAGGTTGGTTGGCCGCATCTTTGATATGCTTTAAGGTGACAGCGCGATGCTGTTAGTGAGTTCTTCACTTCTTGTGTGCCTATCATTACTTGGCTGTGTAGCCGCGTGATGCGGTTCCAGTCGAGACCCACAAATTGGCCCTTGCTCACCATAGAGTCTCCAGTAGCTCAAGTGGTTAGAGCATCCGACTAGATCACGGAGGGTCGTGGGTTCAAATCCCATCTGGGACTCGGATTTTTTTTCCGAGTCCTCCTCAAATTAATATCATGTTGTTGTTGTTTCATCTTTAATATACTCACTTTGGAGGTTGGTTGGCCGCATCTTTGATATGCTTTAAGGTGACAGCGCGATGCTGTTAGTGAGTTCTTCACTTCTTGTGTGCCTATCATTACTTGGCTGTGTAGCCGCGTGATGCGGTTCCAGTCGAGACCCACAAATTGGCCCTTGCTCACCATAGAGTCTCCAGTAGCTCAAGTGGTTAGAGCATCCGACTAGATCACGGAGGGTCGTGGGTTCAAATCCCATCTGGGACTCGGATTTTTTTTCCGAGTCCTCCTCAAATTAATATCATGTTGTTGTTGTTTCATCTTTAATATACTCACTTTGGAGGTTGGTTGGCCGCATCTTTGATATGCTTTAAGGTGACAGCGCGATGCTGTTAGTGAGTTCTTCACTTCTTGTGTAACTATTTTAAAGCATTCTTTAATGTTCTGTGAACATTACAAAATTGAAAGTTTTGACAAAAAATGACAGCTGAAGATTTGTTAGATTTGTTTGCAACCATTACCCTTGAAGCAGCCCTAATACCAGCGTTTATGTTCTCCGCACCATTCTCCATATTTTAAATCTAGATATTTTGTCTGATTAAGCTGTTTTAGTGAAAGGAGAAATTAGATTCTGGTCACTATTAGGTTTACTAATTAAATAATCCCGGAACTCTCACTACTGGTTACTGGACTTCATGCTTCGAAACTACGATTAGATTTTCTTATTATATAGGCGAATCTTGTTGCGTTTCATTTTTGCTGATAAGAATGCGAAATATTGAGACGTCGTCCTATATAAAAGTTAAGGTCAAAAGTTGAAAGAGTTCGTCAACTTGAGCAATTTGTGTAATTTTCAGCTCTTCCAAGCAATATCAAAAGAAATAGCACCTATCGAAAACTTCGAAACTGCTGTTTGGTAAAAACATTAAAGAGCTCATATATTTTTGTAAAATTTCGAGTTTTAAAGAGAGTATCTCCAAACTATTCGGTATTTTGGGCTAAAATTTTCAGAGACAACTTGTATGGTTATGCCCTTTAAATATTTAATCTTATTTTTGTAATAACTTGATCAGAGAATAAGATTATATGTAAATGACCCAAGGAATGTAAACAAATTTTCACCCATAGGAACAGGAGGGTATCCCTAGTGAGGAGGAAGAAAGCAGCAGCTCAGAAGACGAGAGGGAATGGCGCGAGGAACTCAAGAGACAGCGTAAAGAAGCTAGAATAAATGAAGAGAAACAAGTTACCAGCAAACCAAAGTTTTACGAATTAAAATCAGGCGAAAACTTTAAAACCATAAAGTCTACCAAAGACGTGTTGACCTCGAAACAAAAGAAGTAAGTATGACACAAGAATCTTTGGCCAAATCGCGGATCCCGGGTGGAAGACCCTGATTAGAGGATCCTGCCTCCCAATAAATGGCGGACGAATATATTTTTCACCTGATCAATCAATTAATCAATCAATTTATTTAAAATCATTGCGTGGGATTGAGGTTGCCCGCAGCATCCGATCCAAGGGCTCATGTATGAAACGCATGACAAAATGTCGTACCCGGAACTCGTCTTAGTGATAAAGTCTGGGTACGAGATTTATTTTTCACGTCGCGTTTTGTGATCTTGCCGTCCCGGTTAACATCTGTGAAATGCAAACGAAAACTCAAATCTAGTCCAACTGGGAGAAAGCAGTAACGGAAGAACCGGAAAAAAATTCCATTTTCTCACGTTTGTTGTCTTGAGCTTGAGTTTTGGAGTCGTGTGTGAACCAGTTACTTATGAACAGTTACAAAACTTAGATTATTTGCATTAGGAGCTATTATTTCTCATCTGTTTCCCTTTGAATCGAAATAGCAATCTGATACTAAGGTCGCTGTGAACACTTAGTTACACTATAATCAAGTCAAGTTAGCCCTGTCATATTATGTTCGGTATTAATTCTTAGTGCATAAAATTCAATTTCCTACAAAGTCAAAACGGGTGCGTTTTGTTTTTTGTGTGTAGGGTATCCCTTGGTGACCGTCTTCAGCATGAAGAGAGTTCGGGTGTGATCCGGTCAACAGGTTCATCCTCGGGTGAAAAGGAGATTACTTTTCAAGTAGAGAAGGTAAAAAAAGGACATCAATTTAACGTTACTGGTTATAACGATTCTTTTAAAGATTGAAATGTATTTGCTTTACCTTGTACCTAATGAAAACAGTCATTTTAAATTATTGGTTTGTATAGAAAGACAAATACAAATTGCAGCAGTATTTTAGGATACTGTAGGAGTTTATTGCCCTTAAATGAAGAAGGGTGTAATTGATTTTTTCTTTAATTAACTGGTATTTTTTACTGTCGTTCTTGAGTTTATTGTGGTGTGGGGTAATTGTGTGAACGTAATATCCTGAGCGATCATGGTTACTTTTTGATAAAGGCCAGAGTTTAAGCGAGACTTGGCCTGAAACAGCTTTTAATGCGGAATTTTAATAAGAAATAATAATTGTTTTCTAACTACATGCAACCACGTTTTCTTTCCCCCCCATGCATCACGCGTCAAAATAAGCGACTCTATTGCATTTATCACAATTTTTGTTTTCTTTGTAGAATAACAAAGAGACAAAAAGAGATGAAGAAATTCGTGCTCATGTCAAGGAAAGGAAAAAGCTTCGTCGATCAGCCAGCAGTGTCCTGGGAAATGAGAAACGAAAACCGGTGTTCTGGAGAGGGAGGAGGGTTAGATGACACGAAGCTGCGGCCACAGTGGAATTGATAAGCTTGTACTCTTCTGGGAAAAGGAAGCCGGTAGGGTGTTCTGTAGGACGAAGAGAGTTCGATGACGGCGTACTCGAAGTGGTGGCGACAATTGCAGCAGTTTTCCTGGGAACGAAAACTGAGTAGTGGTCTTTTTGAAAAGTATAGTTCGTTGATGCGAACATTATTTTTGGTTAATAACTCGACGTAAAGATCTGATCAACCGCTGCCTCAGTCGTCGCAGAGCATCAAAGTGTGTATACGGATCATAATGAAAAGTGGTTTTGAACTATGCATGCAATTGGATTGAGTGCGAAAAAAACAAAGAAAGAGAAAAGGAAAGAAACAAGGGGGGAAAAGGAAGAGCACCTTTCGTTAATTACTGGTCGTTGCAATCCTCCTAGACACTGAGACACCTAAAGCCTCACATCTATGGCTTTTTATCAGAGACCACAATACAAAACTGCAGTGCAGTGAGAAACTTTAGCTCCTGAAAGTGATGGAATTTCTCAGTCTTTGTTTAATACCGATTGTAGGACTCATTGTGAAACTGGATTAATAGGTTGTACAAAGTGTGAGCGTGTGTTTCTTGTAGACAAATAGATGACATACAAACTAAACACATCCAACTTACGTCATTTCTGTCGAACTCCTGTAATACGAACGCTGAGGGGACCGTAGAAAAGGTCCAAATATTAATGGGGTATCCGTAATAAGCGGGTCGTAAACACCTTTTATTGGAACAAAATACTAAAGAACTAAAACATGACATAAGCATTGTTAAACTAATCTCCAACTTATACAAAGCGATTATTCTATGGAGAGCTTAAGCAACGACTACGCGACGACGGTGAGGGTAGGTCCGGGTTTGACCCTGGGTTGCGATCTTCCTTCTATTTAATGGAAACACTCTGTGTTCTAAAAGTGCCCCAAAAAATGGCACCGATTATTTACGAAAGGGAAATCCCGACGGCGAAGAAATGTATAAAAGAGCATGGTTACCGTGCAAAGTTGTTGATTTGGATTTTGAAGTTATATTACTCTTTTGCCGTTGCCGTTGCCGTTAATGTGGTAGTGATTACCTCATAGTCGATTTATCTGCCGATTTCGTGAAAGTATTTTGATCGGTAATAGAGGGGGTAGAACTTTCCACAGTTTTTTTTTCAACTTTTGACATGGCAAGTTTGTTCCCCCACCATACAAAGTGTAAATGTTCGTACCTTTGCGGAGCTATATCTTTGCTCGCTTATAAGATGTAGCATCTTTAAACTTGGCAGTTTTACCCATTTTAAGGCGCCCTTCCAGTGGTATCAGTGGTGTGGGTTTCAGTTTGTAGACGTAGAAAGGACCACAGTTACGCACCTTTATGTAAATACTAAATCTGTTTTTATAAAAATTTACATTGTGCTTGTCGTAATAGCCGAAGTACACTTGGCGGCTGACTATCCCGTCGTCAACTGTTGGATGACCTCCCATTAACCTTCCCTGATAATAAGTATCGCAATGACCGTATTGATAACAGCAGGTTGTGGACATTTGTTTGCCTGTTATGAATGCGTACCATCCCTCAGGTAGATAGTGATCATTTGTGTATTTTCCTGACTTGAAATAATAATATCTCGTGGAGTCATCTATCGCCTTGAAACGTTTACACTCCGGCTTATCCGTACCTTAAGGAAATTCAAAGGAAGCAGCGTAGGGCTGGTTAATTTGTATTAAACTTACAAATTGCAAAATGTTAAAAGTAGGACCTTCAATCACCCAGTCACAAAACTCAGATCATTATATACGTCTGTCCTAAAGGTAATTCCCTTTAAACGTCGACTATCCGGTTTTTTTCAAGCTTGGCATAATTAGAAGTGATGAATAAATTTACCTGCAATACCGGTGCAGCTGTTTGTCTTACCAATTAAGGTGGCCCGAACCTATTTATATGCGTGTAGCCTATGTACAGACGCCCCCTCTACATGCGTGCATGTTGGTTATGTTTTGGAATTGCTTTTTTCAGCAGAAACGATTTAACTGATTTCTATGAGTTTTGGCACCCTTAATAAAGAATGATCGAACTTTAAGAAAATCTTATATATACCTGCATGATTTTTGAAAACCGGGTTAACAAAAATATCAACTCATTCTACTACTTGGCAATTTAAAACAACAAAACTCATTCAAAGGCCGATTAAAAGCCTTTAACTGACGCCGGGCAGTAAGTTAATGGTCCCTAGAAGCATTCCAACGAGTCCAAATTTAAAAGAGTTAAATGGTCGGCCCCTTAAGGCTTACACAGCAACTTAAATAGTAAGCCAAACACTAATTTTTTTCGCGGTCTGATAAACAACAGGATTCTGCACGGAAAAGACAACAAACTGAATGAAACATAGTGCACAAATTGTCACCTCCTTATCTGCAAAAACCGGCCTTTTTATGCCATTAGAGCCCGTAGAAACTAGACATAGATCCAATTTTCCTGAGTCGAGAGTTACTTTTCCAAGGTACAATGAGCTAAGCTAAACACCGACGAAACAATATTATTTGGCGAAACCGCAGTTCAACCACGCTATCACATACCTGTCAACACCATGCGGAAATCACACAATCACACACTTTCGCGGCACTGGTAAGACTATCCACAACCACGCATAATCTTCTCACGTTTAACATAAGCGAAACATCATCGAATAACGAGATCTTCAAAGAGTTTATACGGTTTTTCTTTTGTCGGGGGGAGGGTGCGGCTACACGTAGGCTACTCTGTCTAAGGTATGGGTCGCACTGCCTTGAGGTAGAAATCTGTCATCGGTGGACATTGCTATTCGTTTTCGAGTTTTGGGTGCTCCGTTTTCGAGATTTGGGTGCTTCGTTTTCGAGATTTGGGTGCTTCGTGCTTCGTGCTTCGGTCTTCGTTTTCGAAACTACCGTCGAGGGTGTGTTGCAGAAATGTCACAGGGATCTAGCCAGGTTGATACAAACATCAGGATTCCCGGAATAAGTCATATTCACAATATTCGTTGCAAAGAAAATGGAATGCGTTATTGGTAGGCGTATGGTGTTGGCAAAGGAGGATGGTTGGAACGTGACATTAACATTCCGCAACTGAAAATACTGGAGGACTTTTTATCTGAATGTGTCAACACTGGCGTGATGCGAATGATTCCGGAACGTGCGAGTGGAATTTGACTGTCCAATCGATGGGTGTGTTCGCAGTTACGAAACAGTCGCAGGGCTTCAAAAGCGCCTTGACGTTGGCAATCACGTTTTTCGCTTCCACAGAGAGTCGCAGTTTGACCACATCAAGCGCCAGTACGCCAATATGGTAAGCGAGGAACTACCAAGGCCACTTTTTGATATGAATTCTTATAGCACATCTGCACCGTCTACTGAGCAGAATAGGCAACATGTTGGCAAGGTCCCGATCGGATGGGCGTTAAAGAAACAAAAGTCCTCCTCGCGGTTTTCTCATTGCCTGCGTGCATACGTCTCTTATTTCCTTTGTTCCAACGCGTGCAACAAAGGAAATAGGAAACGTCTGCACGCAGGCAATTTACTCAAGGTTAAAACACATCTTAATGATACTGATTCCCAAATCGGCGAGGACAACAGGCAACAAGGCATCACCGATGCAAGTTGCGCGTGGAATGCGCCGAGAAAGAGACGACAAAGGCGACCGGCATGATTTGTTGGAACCCGGATTGTCTCAGTTCATGGCTCAACAAGTTGCCGCCTACCTCTCTCGCTTAGAGCTACGAAAAGGAAACACGGTTCTTTAGACATACCTGTCGTCCGTTTGGAGGAGGTTGAAGAAATTTTAAATGAAGAACGGATGGAGGAGAAGGAAGAAGACATTTCAGGTAAGAAGAAAGTGGTATTCGACAATCTGCAGCTAAAGCATCCAATTACATACAAGTCCTACAAATCATAATGCAAGCTTAGTTAGCTGCTGTAGACGGAAAAATGGCGACAAAATTTGGTATTGCCGAACTGAGAAACAGGTAATGGGTTCATGATAACCGTCACGAATGTAGGGACATTCCGTGACCACTTTGCCCATTATGATAAAGTTGACAACTGTAAGAGGTTTTTACAAACGTACTAAATTAATATAGCTGTACATGTCAGGGTTCTAGTTTTAAACGAGACATGCAGCTAAGATGTAAAAGTAGGCAGTTTGCTAATCGAGTGCTGCAAGTAATTTGAGGCTGAACATTCCCTCACAAAAAGTAGACGGATCAGACCTCAAAGTAGCCTGTTCTTAGCCGGTTGCCGGCACCTTAATGAGAACCATGTCATGTGTTACTAAACCGAAGCCCTAAATGTGAACAGTCTTAGCCGCGAATGTAAGTTTTGATGTCCAGCAGTTAGGCAGTAAAATGTAAAATAATTTCAAAATATTGCAAAAAGGAAAAAAAAAAGGAAATGGTAGCTAAGCTTTGAGAAACATAGCCTCGCCACGAAGGCGTTTTTAGGGGAGCTCGTTTTTCATCCGTCCCCACAAGCGCCTGCTCAACCGAAAACAACATTCCTTTCCCATACTTAGCCAATCACATTGAACTTTCCAAATTCTGGAAAGTTGACCTTGACTGCAAGGTAATCTGATAATTACTCGATCTGCATGAATCACTGACAAAACTTTCTGACCTCTAATAAATGTTACATTCAGAGCGGCAAAAATAAGATTTAGTCAAATTTTATAATACTCCATGCACTTCATAAACTCAGCGAAGGAAAGAAAAGAAGGAAAGCGGTAACTCTAGCTAGTGTCACGTTTTAGTCGCGTTTAGCCTGTCAACACTTCATTGCACAACTGCTTATTGGTCACTTACCACGCAAATAAAACAATGGGAAAGGAATGTTGTTTTCGGCTGAGCAGGGGTTTGTGGGGAGGGATGAAAAACAAGCTTCCCTAAAAACGCCTGCGTGGGAGGCTATGAGAAACAAGCAATACATCAATTGTCTATTTTGCTATGTATTGGCTTGAATGTTAAGACGGTTTC